AGAGCTGAGATATCAAAATTAAAAATTTCGACCTGAAAAAAAACCGACAGTGTTACCCCTTTCGTTTTTTTTCGTTTTCGGGCGAAAAATTAAGTTTCTCATATCTTCTCAAAACTCTGGATTCTGATAGAGGGCCACGAGACTTTGACTTGAGTGCAAAAATGGAGGCTCTAGACCCTTCCAGAGCTGAGATATCGAAATTCAAAATTTCGACCCAAAAAAAAAAAAACGACAGTGTTACCCCTTTCGTTTTTTTTTTGTTTTTGGGCGAAAAATTAAGTTTCTCCAATGTTCTCAAAACTCTGGATTCTGATAGAGGGGCACGAGACTTTGACCTGAGTGCAAAAATGGAGGCTCTAGACCCTTCCAGAGCTGAGATATCGAAATTAAAAATTTCGACCTGAAAAAAAAACCACAGTGTTACCCCTTTCGTTTTTTTTTTTTCATTTTCGGGCGAAAAATTAAGTTTCTCCAATCTTCTCAAAACTCTGGATTCTGATAGAGGGCCACGAGACTTTGACCTGAGTGCAAAAATGGAGACTCTAGACCCTTCCAGAGCTGAGATATCGAAATTCAAAATTTCGACCCAAAAAAAAACGACAGTGTTACTTACCCCTTTCGTTTTTTTTTCGTTTTTGGGCGAAAAATTAAGTTTCTCCAATCTTCTCAAAACTCTGGATTCTGATAGAGGGCCACGAGACTTTGACCTGAGTGCAAAAATGGAGGCTCTAGACCCTTCCAGAGCTGAGATATCGAAATTCAAAATTTCGACCCCCAAAAAAAACGACAGTGTTACCCCTTTCGTTTTTTTTTCATTTTGGGCGAAAAATTAAGTTTCTCCAATCTTCTCAAAACTCTGGATTCTGATAGAGGGCCACGAGACTTTGACCTGAGTGCAAAAATTGAGGCTCTAGACCCTTCCAGAGCTGAGATATCGAAATTCAAAATTTCGACCCAAAAAAAAAAACGACAGTGTTACCCCTTTCGTTTTTTTTTTTCGTTTTTGGGCGAAAAATTAAGTTTCTCCAATCTTCTCAAAACTCTGGATTCTGATAGAGGGGCACGAGACTTTGACCTGAGTGCAAAAATGGATCTCTAGACCCTTCCAGAGCTGAGATATCGAAATTCTAAATTTCGACCCCCCAAAAAAAACGACAGTGTTACCCCTTTCGTTTTTTTTTGTTTTGGGCGAAAAATTACATTTCTCCAATCTTCTCAAAACTCTGGATTCTGATAGAGGGCCACGAGACTTTGACCTGAGTGCAAAAATGGAGGCTCTAGACCCTTCCAGAGCTGAGATATCAAAATTAAAAATTTCGACCTGAAAAAAACCCCACAGTGTTACCCCTTTCGTTTTTGTTTTTTTCGTTTTCGGGCGAAAAATTAAGTTTCTCCAATCTTCTCAAAACTCTGGATTATGATAGAGGGCTGTGAGACTTTGACCTGAGTGCAAAAATGGAGGATCTAGACCCTTCCAGAGATGAGATATTGAGATATTTATAATGGCATAATGCACTCAGGTCTAAGTCTCATGGCCCTCTATCATAATCCAGAGTTTTGAGAAGATTGGAGAAACTTTTTTTTTGCCCCAGAAAAAAACAACAACAGGGGTACCACTGTCGTTTTTTAAGGGGTCGAAATTTTGAGTTTCTCTGATATTCTTGAAACTCTGTATTCTGATAGAGGGCCATGAGACTTAGACCTGAGTGCAAAAATGGAGGCTCTAGACCCTTCCAGAGCTGAGATATTGAGATATTTATGATGGCATAATGCTACGTGGGATCTCAATATCTCAGCTCTGGAAGGGTCTAGAGCCTCCATTTTTGCACTCAGGTCTAAGTCCCATGGCCCTCTATCAGAATCCAGAGTTTTGAGAAGATTGGAGAAACGTATTTTTTCGCACAAAAAAAACAAAAAAACGAAAGGGGTAACTGTCGTTTTTTTTCCGTGTCGAAATTTTTAGTTGCTCTGATCTTCTTGAAACTCTGGATTCTGATAGAGGGCCATGGGACTTAGTCCTGAGTGCAAAAATGGAGGCTCTAGACCCTTTCAGAGCTGAGATATTGAGATATTTATAATAACATAATGCTACGTGGGATCTCAATATCTCAGCTCTGGAAGGGTCTAGAGCCTCCATTTTTGCACTTAGGTCTAAGTCTCATGGCCCTCTATCAGAATCCAGAGTTTTGAGAAGATTGGAGAAACTTTTTTTTTGCCCCAGAAAAAAAACGACAGGGGTACCACTGTCGTTTTTTTAAGGGGTCGAAATTTTGAGTTTCTCTGATATTTTGAGAAACTCTGGATTCTGATAGAGGGCCATGGGACTTAGTCCTGAGTGCAAAAATGGAGGCTCTAGACCCTTCCAGAGCTGAGATATTGAGATATTTATAATAGCATAATGCTACGTGGGATCTCAATATCTCAGCTCTGGAAGGGTCTAGAGCCTCCATTTTTGCACTCAGGTCTAAGTCTCATGGCCCTCTATCAGAATCCAGAGTTTTGAGAAGATTGGAGCTGGGGCGAAAAAAAAGTTTCTCCAATCTTCTCAAAACTCTGGATTCTGATAGAGGGCCATGAGACTTAGACCTGAGTGCAAAAATGGAGGCTCTAGACCCTTCCAGGTTTAAGTCTCATGGCCCTCTATCAGAATCCAGAGTTTCAAGAAGATTGGAGAAACTTATTTTTTCGCACAAAAAAAACAACAAAAAAAACGAAAGGGGTAACACTGTCGTTTTTTTTCCGGGTCGAAATTTTTAGTTGCTCTGATCTTCTTGAAACTCTGGATTCTGATAGAGGGCCATGGGACTTAGACCTGAGTGCAAAAATGGAGGCTCTAAACCCTTCCAGAGCTGAGATATTGAGATATTTATAATGGCATAAATGCTACGCAGGATCTCAATATCTCAGCTCTGGAGGCGTGGAGCGCGGCGCGGAAGACGCGAATACGCCTCATTCGCGCGTCAAGTTGGCGCGAATGGCGCGAATTGAGCGTTGTGCATTCACGCGTTTGACGCGAATTCGCGTCTGCCGCCCGAGTTGAAAAATCTGAACTTTGGCGTGAATTCGCGCCGCGTTAACCAATCAGGAGCCTAGCTGCTTGCTCACGTGGTGAAGTGTCTGGATGCTTCAATAAATTATTTTGGTAATATGACTAAATGCATGGTGGGATTATGCACAACAAAGCAAATGTTTCATCACTTAAAACATTATTTCTATATAGGAGACATGTTCATTTTGTATTGAATGTTATTCATTCCATATCTAGAAATAGTATTAAGTTGTAAAGACACGCGAATTAACACTAGTGGTCAAGCGTCAAACTAGACGCGTCAGGCGCGAATTTGACGCGCGATTCGCGTCCGGTGTGAACGTAGCATGCGTGCACGCTCAGTGAGAGTGAGAATGCTCGCGCAAAGAGGAAGAAGATGACCGATCTATCGCGGGCTGTTGTTTTGATATAATGCGTTTACTTCCACTTTGATTTGTAGCGTTTTACAGAGTGTTTTCTTTAACCTGTTAACATCCGCTCTTTCGACATGTATATGAAGAGTACGTGTGCTTAACTGAAAGAAAGCAACTATAAAAGGACTCATGGAACAACCAGGTCTTTCCTATTCTTCTTCTGGTACCTCAAACTCTGACAGACGTTACAACACACGGACTGTTTCAAACAGGGGTTGGATACATGTTTTGCTACACAAATATAAGTAAACACTTTGCAGACTGAATGTTGTCCTCGTCCTGTATGAACAAATGATGGATGTTTATCATGACTCCACTGTTTGATCGCACCCGCGTGTCTCACAACCAGGTTACGTTACGTTACCTTGTAGAAAATATTTGACCTGGCTGGCAGAACGATTGCCTTTGCCTGCATCTTTGCGGTGACATGACTAACATATTTAAGACCTATCCAAATCTGAATTTAAGACAATTTAATACTTTTTAAGGCCTTATTTTTAGGAAAATTGATTTAAGACTTTTTAATACTTTTTAATGACCCACGGCCACCCTGGTATTGATAAAACATGTCTATTTTGGAAATGAATGGAGATCACACAAATAGTCTATATAAAATAAATGTATTTGATGGGAAGTAACAAGGAATCGGCAGGAGCAGTAGACTCAGTGGTTGGCATTTGTGGCAAGAAGAAAACTGGTAGCAGTATGTGAATTGTATATTCTAGTTTAACAGATGACAATATATTGTGTTTGCTATATTAAAAAAGAAAAATGCTTTCTGTCTCTTTTGTCAGATTACAGCCTCACCTTCCGTCAAACGCCATTATATTCAACAATGTAAGTATGGCAGAGGTATTCAATAGCGTCTGGCTGCAGACTTGCACTTGCACTATATCAGACATTCACTAAATCACCTGCGCTTTCTCTGCAAGTGACGTCACTTGCTATTGTTGAGTAGGATTAGGGTTAGGATTAGGTTTACGGTTAGCATGTAAATATGGATAATTTACTGTTATTACCATAGTCTGAAAGTGGTCCGGTTTAATACAGTTTGGCAAACCAGCATTGGGTTAGCTACATAAACCAGCAGGCTGAGTAGTTTTGCAAAATTGTGAAACTTAACCCAGAAGTTACACAACAATGCAAATATAATTCAACAGAAGCAAAACACAAAAAAAACGCAGATTTTAGAGTACTACACAACCGTAGGTTATGGAACTCTGTATTAAGATCTTATAAGCACATTAAATTCCCGCACCCAAACAAAACTGATGGAAAGATACAAAATTGCAAACTTGTTTTTCTGCATTTTCGACTGTTGTTTTGTGATTTCATCTGAAGATAATTGTGTTTGATTCCTTAACTTCAACAAACAGTTTAGAGCCTATTGTTCTTAATTGACGTTGAAAATAGAATTAGATTTCTTTTTTCTGTTTGATTACATACTGACATGACTTTATTTTGGACGTTACTTTGTGTAATTATAAATTAAGGCAAAAAGATGATACAAAATGATAACAAATACTAAATGTACCCACCTGGTGTCCATTGTAGTATTTCAGAGTAGTCTACTGATGCTGATCGTAAGCTTTGGTGATGAAACTTGTCCAACTGAGTTGAGAAAGCAAGAGGAAAATCTTTTGTTTTCGCTCCGGACTCCGGACGGAGGTTTAAGTTTCGCTTTCTTTTCTCTGTTTTCTTGCTCCGCCCCGCAGCACAGAGGGGTTCAAAAAAGGGTTCAAAAGAATTGTGCGTTAATAACCGGTCAAATGCACTCTCAACAGTGAGGCTACTCTCATGAAAAACACTTTCTCATGTTGTTTTCGGTCGTCACGTCCCCAGCGGCCCTTGACAATATGAATGGCGCATTGTATGGATGTAGCCTGATGGTGATGACTCAGTCTGACATTCCGCAGCACACATGCCTTTTTGGGATAATGTGTTTATCCACATCCACGCGAGGGCACTATAAGCAAAAATGTCTACACTAAGGGATATTGGGTTCCACGTTTTCGGAGTTATGAGCTAGATGGCAGAGGCAGGCCACATAAATAGCACAGATATCAACATAAATAAATATGTAAAATATTCCATAAAAAAAAACATCAATAAGACAAATAATGGCATCTTTTTTTATGAATAAAGGCCAGTAGCCTATCACTGATACTATTATGGTGTATCAATAAATCACACTGACACTTCAATGAAATAACAAATTAACTTTTGGTAAAGGAAAACATCCAGCCCTAGTCTGGAGAAGTGACGGGGATATCTGTGGTTAAAAGTGTACAGTATTTCTCAAACACCAGTACTTGCAATAGAGTAATATTTTAGCAATGTAACAGTGTACTTGAGTACGGACTTTCAGTTCTCTTTCCACCTCTGTCTTTTATGCACACACCACCTAATTAGGCTCATTCATAATGAAGCCAGCAAAGCAGTTAATGTTTGTTAATTCTCTCAGATTCCCTTTAATTTACGAATTTTACTGAATTTAATTGTTATTTGGTCAGGCAGTTCTTTGGACATATTTCAGGGGCCTGTATGCAAAGGCCTTGTTTCGCGCTCAAAACGTTAACAGTTCATTCGGAAAGTGCAACTGCTAGCTGTGACTTCAAGTTCGAGATGAACTTCATTACATGACTGAATGATTCGAAGAGTTGCAAGTTAGAGCAAAAAAGAATCTTGCTAAATTGACCTATGCTCCTTTGTTTTTAGGTGCACTGAAGAGTAATGCAATGACTCAAAATGTTAACCGCAAAGAAGTGGAAATGGCGCTGGGGAAGTGGTTTACTGGCGCACGTGACCGTGGAGGGAAGAGGGCTGCAAGAGCCCATCAGCCCAAAGAGAAAAAGGAGCCTTCTCCACACAGGCGCCATGAGTTTATTTTGTATTAACGTATTTTTTGGAGAGATGTGGGGGTTTTTTTCAGAGATTTTTTTTTTTGTTATATTTTTTATTTATTTACCGATATGTTGTGATATTTAAATATATATTTTAAAGATGATGTTTTTTGTTCAATTTAACAATATGTTAAATTAATTGAAATCAATATGTTAAAAATGAAAGTTTCTGAAATAAGGCCACAAAAATGGTCACACACATATATATATATATATATATATATATATATATATATAATATATATATATAAATTCGTAAATTAAAGGGTATAACAGATATACATTAGATTCAGAATTCACCCCGTACAGCTAACATTAACAAAAAATAATAAATACTGTAACAAATGTATTGCTCATTGTTCGTTAATGTTAGTTAATACATTAACTGACTTATTAACCTTATAGTAAAGTGTTCCTGTATTTTCTTTTAATTTAAGATAAATTAATAAATCCACACATATGGTCATATAAGCAGCTGTACCGAATTTGGAGCAAAATCTAATTGTGTGAAATGGCACAACGGCCAAGTATAACCCATACTCGCAATTTGTCCTCTGCACAACCCATCCAAGCTAGTGCCCACACATTAAGAGAAGGGAGTAGTGAACACATGAACACTGCAAAATGTGGACACACACACTGGTAGCAGTGGGCAGCCAGGCCATTCACCACGTCAGTCACGTGATTATGATGACACACGGAATTCAGGAGGGCAGGGAGTGAAGAGGGCAATGGACGAGATGAAGGAAAGTTCGTACTGTACTACTTTACACGCTATTACAAAAAAAAGAAATAAACAACAAAAAAAATCAAACATATGTTGGACGTGATCCTTACGTTATGAAGAGGACCGATATTTCAACTTATTTGAAAGATTTTCCAGCCATCGAGACGCTAGATATCAGCAACTACCTCGTCTGACATACTTTGACTTAAGTTCGGAAAGGTTACACGTTACACAAATGGTCACTTAAGTTGTATTAACTCACCTTTGACGAAGTGATCACTACGTTACACACACGAGCGTTATCCCATTCGGCTCCTCCCGACAGCAGACAGGCTTGCAAGCTGTTTTTCCAGAGTTTATCAATCAATTTCTTGCATTTCCCCCCCTTATGAACAACAACTTTTGGCACACGATAAAAACTCTTTGTGGTTTAATCGATTCAAGTAACTATAAATGACTCAAAACACAGGCATTTTGAGTTTGTTATCCACAAGTTTCCTACGCCCCATGAGGCCTTGCGTCAAAAGTCTTCCGATTCGTAGTAAACAAAGCGCGACTTGACATGCTTGATACTCATTCATTCAACAGTTGACATTCATTCAAGTTTCAAAGTTTTACTTTGCATTTTGAGTTTTTTAGTGCTCCCCCCCCCCCCCCCCCCCCCCTCCATTTGTATTTTGCGTCATGGCAACGCAGTGGCGTGACGTCATATGAAAACAAGCCATTGGGAGTTCGGTGCCACAATCCGGTTGAACCTGCAACTTCTGAGTTACCAGTCTGACTCTCTAACCATTAGGTCACAAATATAATCAACTCTCACTCTGGTAAACACCTTGAATCATGTCTGTATTCCATGATAGATTCGTACTTTCATTAAACGTCAAGACAGAGATTCAAAAAGTCAGTAAATTTTTCATATCTTTCTCTTTCTTTGTTACACCATATGACCTCAGTGAAAGGGAGATCTCTACTGAAGTGGACAGTATGGTAAAAGACAATACTGACCTGTACAATGCAGTCCACACGAGGGCGCTGTTAAACAACTACACGAAAGCATTGCACCACAATTGTTTTAAAACAACACATTGAATTTGAAGTTCAATATTTCATCATAGTCTTATAAACATGATACATTCATTACATGAATTGCATTCATTAAATAACCACTGTTATAAATAAGTTTTTCTTAAAGCCTTGAGGTTCAGAACTCACAGCACCTCAATTACTCTCCAAGAAATCACAAATCAGAAGTAGCAGAAAAGAATTATGACGGAGAAACATGGAAGACTCTTGAATTACACTTAAACTAAATGAACTGTGTGAGTAACTGCCTATACTGTGTGAAAGTTTGTGTGGAGGCTTCTAGCTGTGGGTTTATAGTGCTCAGAGCTGGTGTAGTGGCAACACACTGTTAGGCTAATTGGATTGGATTGAGAAGTCTTCCTGGGAAAGGAGCAGTTGGGAAGGTCAAGTATTCCAATATCACTGAATCAAGCAGAATTTGATTAGTTGCAGCCTGTGTACATGTTAGCACCCCCCAACAAAACTCCTACCCCCCTCCTCCTTGTTGTAAATCTTCTTATTAATATCATGCAAATAAACACACGTCAGCATTAGGGATTAACTGTGTGACTATCATATGCATTACTATGGATCACAATCATCAATACTGGGTCTCATAACCTGAGATACATGGGTATTGAGAATCTCTTTCGTTTTAATTTTTTCCTTCATTCCTTTTTTTCCCTTCCCTTTCCACTTCTTTCCTTCCTTTGTCCTTCATTCATTCGTTCTATCAAAAAGTGGTTGAAGCAAGGGAGGACGCAGGATCCAAATGCAGCACACACCTGACTCAGGGACAGACCAACATCAAGAACTCACAAGACAGCTGAAACACAGGGCTTAAATACAGGGGTAAACAAGCTAGCCGGGATAACAAGGGGGCGTGGTAAATGGGAAACACCTGGGATGACTAATAGACAGACAGGCAACCGATAAACATGACAGGACAAACCCACACCGACACCGTGACACATTAATTCATTCATTCCTTTCTTTTTCCTCTCTTTCCTTTCATCCTTCCCTCCTTCTTTCCTTCCTACAACATTGTGGCAGATGGTAAATGATGGCAAGTCCACATTTTGTTTAAAAGCAGAGACAGCATTGCAGATGGACAAGAGCGTGGAGGCTTTATTAAACAATCAACCTCATGTTTTTGCATGCATATTGTGCAGCAATGGGGGTCAGCTTATTCAATTTAGTCAACTTAATAAAAAACGAGGAGACAGCAGGAAGGATAAAATCCTGAAAAGCCACTCTCAGTCTCATACAAAACGGCATCATTAATGCCATGATGCAACACTTTTACAATCATGTTGCACACCCGTAAAGATATTCTCTCTTGGGGCATCAATGCAATTAAAGTAGAAAAGTGAAGAGATCCTTTATCCGAGGGAAGCTTTATGATACACACACATAGCATGTAAAACCTGGTATTTATCAGTGTGTGCATGTGTGCAGAGGGGTAAGGTTATGTCTGTGATTGCCATGGAAACACAGAGCTCTTGTGTGCATTTTGCCTTTACTGATGCTTTATTTCCTTGTTCCACTGTTTTCTCTCGCTCTCTCTCATTCGAGTCACAGGGCAGCACCACAAATATCTTGTTTATAAAGTTTGTTACTTTACTTCCATGGTGGCTATGTAGACAGAATGGATTTCTTAGATACATATGGAAGCAAAAAATACAACTTAAACTAGTCTTAAGAAAGATAATCTTAAACTTTTTTTTTTACACTTTTAAATGAGAAACTATCTCAGGGAAGCTCATCTGTATTCTCGTCGTCCTAATCGGGCCTCGCCATAAATGCATTTCGGATGAAACCCGGGTTTCACTGTACAAGGCAGGTGGCAGACAGTGTGTATGGCATTGTGTGGGTGAGCGGTTTGCTGATGTCAATGTCTTAGATTGAGTGGCCCATGATGATGGCGGTAGGGTTATGGGATGGGCAGGCGTATGTAATGGACAACGAACACAGGTATATTTTATTGATGGCATTTTGAATGCATACCATGACAAGATCTCATCCATGACCATCACCTCATGTTGCAGCATTATGGCCCTATGTTGCAAGAATCTGTACAAATTCCCAGCAGCTGAAAACATCCCAGTTCTTGCATGTCCAGCATACTCATCGGACATGTCACCCATTGACTGTGTTTGGGATGCTCTGGATCGGCGTATAC